AGCATATATTTATTTGTGATCAAGCTCTCTGTTCCTCCTGTGCTTTCTAGTGCTTGTAATTGGTCCAGAATAAATGGATGATTTCATCTTTTTCCAGGAAAACAAAAAGAGGAGATAAAGAACTCTGCTATTAAAAGTATCTCCCTCCCCTAGCCAGAAACAAAGCTGTATCCATATATGTATATGTGTGGGAGAGAGATAGAGAGAAAACCTGCATTCAAGCCTGTCTGCCAGGATGAGACCCTCAGCACGTAAACCACAATATGCGGCCCCTTTTCCCTGTACCTAAGTCGTGCTGTAGTAAGAGTTTAGGGACCCAGAAAGACACATAGACCCATCTAGTCGTGAATGTTTACATCATGATGCCTTTATATCTTACTGTGTTGTCAAAGGAATAACAGAGGCTCAGAGCAGGTTAGAACTTCAAAATTCATTAGCCCACTCCCCCTCTTCTTACAGATTAAAGCACAAAGACTCAAAAAAGAAAAGTGGGTCTCAACTCAGGTCTCCTGCCTCAAAATGTGACCTTATTTGGAAAGGGTCTTTTCAGAGGTCATCAAGTTAAAATGAGAGCATTAGAGTGTCCCTTAATTCAATATGACTGGTGTCCTTATAGGAAAGGAGAAGTTTGGACACTGAGAAAGACACACAAACAAGCACAACTCTATGTGAAGATGAAGACAGAGATCAGGCAGATGCTTCTTCAAGCCATTGAACACCAAAGACTACCAGCAAATCACCAAAAGCTAAAAGAGAGATATGCAACTCCCTCTTCCCCATACCCTTCCAAAGGAACACTTTAGTCTTGGATTTCTAACCTCCACAACTATGAGACAACAAATTTCTGCTGCTTAAGCTACTTAGTTTGTAGTGCTTTGATACGACAGCCCTAGAAAACTAATATATTCCTTTTGTTCAACAGTGAATGTATAGGAGGCCCAGCACCAAGGACTCCAGAGCTTAAAGTACAACAAATGTTAGAACTATATACTAGAGGCTCAGAAACCATCTTTGATAATCCTACTCCAAATAAATACAGCATCAAGAGAGAGGGTATGCATGCACATGGGGAATACCTATCCCCAATTTCTCAACAAGACAAACTTTTTTTGCAACTGTGAAGAAAGTAAAATAACTGCTAAAACTACATGAAATCATTTGTTAATGTGGTAAGACATCAGTCACATACAGTTTATTTTATGATGGAACAAATTTCACATATTTTTCAAGGTAGAATATAAAAGTAAAGAAAACTCATCAATACCTTAGCAAAAGATAATGCTATAGGTTCCCAAGATATATTTCACTTACTTCTTCCTAAGGACAAGGAAATGCTGTATTTCCCACTCTCCTTTGCAGCTAAAATGGACCATGTGACTAGCTCTGAACAATGGGTAATATGTAGAAGTGACGTAAGTAGAAGCATAGGAAAGTGTGAGTCTTCCATATTCTCTTTCCTTCCAACAGACTCTAGAAGTCATATATTGAGATTGAGATGGGTGTGTAATTAAAGTAGACAATCCTTAAGTGACTGAGTGAGAAAGAGCTGCCTTGGAGAACCATCTGGCCCTCAATGAAGCTTCTATGAGACAGAAATACATGCTTTTGAGAGTTGGGGGAAATCCTCTAACCCAGGGGTCCCTAACCTCTCCCCCCAAACCATGGACGCTGTTCACATTACCACCTGTACTCCACTTCCTAGTCCCCCTTCCCCCCCTGCCCAACTCACTCCAGTCTGTGGAAAAATTTTCTTCCATGAAACCAGTCCCTGGTGCAAAAAAGGTTGGGAGCTGCTAATTACCTAACATTTTGGCTTAACAGATCTGATGATGGCCTTCATCCTTGCAATTTGTATTTGATTAATATACTTTCAAAATAACAAACTACTTGAAAAACATTAACTTGGAATTTCTCATGTTTCTTGTTGCCTAGTAAATAGTCATTGGCAGAGCAACCCACCCCAGCTATGTCCATGTGATTCTCTCCTACAACCCAGACCCTGGGCCCCACATTAAGGAAACACCTCTTCAACATGCTTGACCACTCCTCCACTGAGTGGGGCAGAACCTTAGAGGAAAAAATGCATTTTCTGCCTCAAAAAGCAGCCATTCCTGACACAACTCTGATTGTGAGAAATTTATTCCATATTGTATTTATAATCAGATCTTGTGTTACTTCATCCATTGACCTTAGTGCTACCATCTAGAATTCTGAAATGACAAAGGATAAGTCCATACTTCTCCCAAATTGCTTCCCCCAGGCTGATGCTTTAATCAAAGATTTCTTTCCAGAAATCTTGTTAATCAAGCTATTGCTAATAAGTCAAATCCCTCTAGAATGTAAGCCAATGCATTGTCCCAATTATTTTGTTGTGTTTGGATTTTATATCAAAAAATATTTCAAATAAATGGAATTCCACCAGGGGCCCAACATTCTTTCAGTTAAAGAAAGATTTGCATCATAGCAATATTTGTTTTATTAGGATTTAACCTATCCATTTCTCTGCTGAGTGCCTGTGTAGGAATGTGGGAAATAGCTTTCTATCACAATAAGCTCAGAAAAAAATGTCAGTGAAATGCAGGCAAACAGATTATGATTGCATCGACAACTCTTTTCATAAGCTAATGGGCTGTCTAACCTATTCGTGATTGCTGTCCCCCATAGGGTCTTGTAAGCACATTGCCAAGGAGTTTGTTGAATTTGGCAAATTGATACCCTGGGCTTGTTTGACTTCCCATTTCTGTGAATGATCCTTAGGTATTTAACAATATGTGAATGTGCTTAGAACGCTTAATGGGGGCATTAGTTAGGTAAATAAGTGATTCAGTTCTCCTTTTCCTTAACAATTGATTCCCTTCGTGCTTTAAGTGGAAATTTTTAAATGTGTACATACATGTGAGGTATCTCAGTCCTGTAATTTATGCTTGATCATCAGGACTCCTATAAAAGAGCTAACATACAATTTTACTCAAAGGACTAAAGCAATCAAATCAACATGAGGGCTAAAAAAACATATAAAAAATGGAAACTTACTAGTAAACAAAGTATTTTTTAATTACATTTCAAATTAGAATAGCTAATATTGGCAGGGTTTGGGGAAACACTTTTATGTATTCCTGTGGGAGCATAAGTTGAGACCATCTATCTGAAAGACAATTTGGCAAATATATCAAAAGTCTTTAAAGTGTGTATACCCTCTGACCCAGACCCAATGACTTCACTTCTGGGAATTTATTCTAAGGAAATAATACTGAGTGTGTGTAAAGATTTACTTATGAAAAATGCTTATTGCAACATTATTTACAATAGCAGCAATTGGGAAAAACAAATAGCCAACAAAAAAGAAATTGACTTTTTAAAGGGAATGGGAGGGTCGGGAACGTGTAGCAAGGTCTCATTGACAAAACCAAAGGGGAAGGATTGAGGGTGGGAGGGGGAGGGGATGGTGGTGGGGGGAAGGCAGAGACAAATGTATTTGAAAAAATTAAAAAATATTATCTTCAAAAAAAGGAAATTGACTTTTTAAAAAAACATAACACACTCATTTATTCAATGTTATATTACACAAAGCCTTAAAAATTATGTTACAGAAGAATTAGTAATACAAAAAAATGTTCAAAATATACTGTTAAGATTATTTTAAAGCAAGTTTCAAATCAAATCAGTATTTTAAGATACCAGTTTTGCAAACACTTATATGAACAAACATAGATTAAAGACATAACAAAATTTAACGTGTTTGAAGGCTGAGATTGTGGATGTTTTTATTTCCTTCTTTGTCTCTCCTGAATTTTTCTAAATATTTAGCAATGAACAAATAAAATATTTGGTGTACAAAAATACTATAATAAAATTGAATCTTACATGTAAAATATTTTAATTTTTCGAGATGCTGTTATTACTAGAAAATCAAGTGTATCTTTCCGACTGGCTTACCTCACAACGCTAAGTGAAACTTTCTTTGGCATTTTAACTAGTTCAGAACCAAATATCCTCCATCTTTTAAAGCAAGTTTGAAAACCAATGGACAATTCCACAACTAGCCAAGGTACCCAACTCAACTGCATTTGAAATATGGAGATTTATGGAATTTGTAAAGCTGGGAATAGAATATTAGTGTCATCACTCAAGAGCATTAAATCTGGAGTCAGAACACCTGGGATCAAGTTCTTACCGACTTTAGCTGGTGACCTTGAGCAAGCCCCTCAGCCCTTCCATGGGACTCTCAGACTAGAATATATATATTTTTTCACTTTCTATTTTTTTAAATAAAAGATATGAAAGGTCAATTTATTTAAAATACTACCAAGGCATAGCTTTAGTCATCTCTTGCCTAGAATTCCACAATTAACAATAAATCATGGTTGGAATGACACAAAACAAGGAACTGATTTTCTTTTCATTTTTGTTTGTTTGCTTGTTTGATGTAAGATAAAACATCCATGCATGGACAAGGTGTGTTCATCATAAACATATAGCTTACATTATTGCAAAGTGAATCTCTGTGCAGTTCCACCCAACCAAAGAAAAAGAACATGGCCAGTATCCCAGGAGGCCTGCACATGTCCCTTCCCAATCACACCTGCTTTCCTACCTCCCCAAAACCATGGCTTTCCTGACATTATTATTATCATTTTATTCACTTGCTGTATAGTTTTACCACTTAGGCATGCATCTCTGATCCATATAGTTTAGTTTATATTTGAACTTTATGTAAATAGAATCATACAGAAAAAATTGTCATAATAGTTGTAAAAAAATTATAAAGTATAATGTATACATCAGTGAATGGCAATATTATCAATAATCCTATTATGTGGGGACATAGGCATTCAACTCTCCAAAGCAGGTGGCTAGTCTCACAATTTTAACATTGAGCCATCTCCCGTCAGGCCTAGACCTCCTCCCCCTTCCAGGTGGTCGGCACAGGCTTACATTCAGGGCCCATCAGAGCTCTATTTTTGTGACTTCCTATGCCACCTGGATGGAAAAGTACTCACCTGAGGCTGAAGGGGTCTGTAAATACCTGCTTTGTTCATAAATTAGTAGGCTTCCCTCCTTTGAATGAGTTCCCTAGCTATTATGAAGGCTCTAAGGTCACATCTAGTTAATCGTTGGCTAGAAATCAATACACAGAAACCGATGGTTTATGATAAGGGCTTATAATAAACAAGTTCAAGTCCAAGAAACTGGCTGTCTTTTTCTCTTAAATGCTAAAAAGAAGGTGCCGATCCCCAGTCCTATTCGGAGAAAGCATAACTTCACTCATATCGCTATCTAAATCAATAACTATTTCATATATTTTTTTATAAGTCGTCTTCCCTTCTTTGGCCAATTCATTGTGTCCTTAGGCTCAACTGTTTAAATGTCACCTAGACTTTTTTAAAATCCCAAGGAAATGCATCACCTTATTGGTATCACAAGACCTCAGGGTTACAGCTACCCTCTGTCCCAGTTCTAGAACAATCCTGGCACTCTTTGATGTTAGCGGCTACCTTGTGAACTGATCCATGGGGCTCCCAGTGCCTGAGGCTCAGTATTAGCATGGGTTTCCCAGCTGGCATTTGGCCCATGTTCACCATTCCTCCTGTGCAACCACCCATGCATGTGGACATGAGCACATGCAAGTGTGAATGGGCGGGTATGTTCGAGCGTGTGTAGGCATACTATCTGCTCATTCCACAAGTAGCCAGCATTACCGTGGACTGTAGCAATAACAGTAAGAATGCCTTTCATGTAATGAACATTGGGTGAGTAAGTGAACAAATGAGCAATGCTCTGCCTGGCTACTTACCCCAACATTCCTCCTCTTCTCACAGTGAGGCCACTTGAATTTCACCTCCTGGCTCAACATTGTATCATTCCTAAAACCAATCTAGGACTTAGTCAGGTAGAATTTCAAGGACCTTAGTCCGGATTCTCAAAACACTTGGAATTAGCGTACCTGGCTAATCTTCACACGGTAATGCTGTATGCATATTTGAATCACACTTTGTTTTTCTCCCACAGATCCCTGTGTACACGTCAATATTAGTATCTGGAGTACTTGCTATCCATCCCAGGACTCTTACTAACTACTTCCATTCCCATTAGAGACTGGATGTCCCCCTCATGAATCCCAGTAACTAGGACCTTGCTTTCTGATGATGCTTAGACCCCAGTATATGAGGAATTACTCATCACTAGCTGATTTATTGCTAGAACCGCCACCTCTGCCTGGTAACTCCCTAATCCTGAGCAATTGCCACTTCTCACCACACTCTCCAGATGCCATGTCTTTCTACTGGAATTCCTCACCCACTGGTAGTTGGGTCTGCCCCCAGTTCACCACGATGGCCATCTTTAATCTCCAGTTTCACTCTCTTGATCTGCTCTGCCCACTGCCTGCTGAAAGGTCTTTTCTGTTTTAAAATTAAAGATAACAATAAATCTTAAAAGTATGACACTTTCAAAGTAAACAAATAAGCAAAAAGAAATCAATCATAATGTAACCATAAAAACTTATTAAAAACTTAGTGCAAATAAAGATATATACCATGCTCATGTATTGGAAGACTAAATATAGTTAAGATGTCAGTTCTTTATGAACTTACATATAGGAATAATAAAATTCCAGTCAAAATCCCATCAAGGCACTTTTTTGGGGGGGAGCTATAAAGAAGATGATTCTAACATTTACATGGAAAGATAAAAAAATAGAATAAGCAAAACAAACTTGAAAAAGGAGAATAAAGTTGAAGGATTTATCCTATACCTCTATATTTTCAGTCCCATTATAAAGTATCCAGTGTGGTGCAGGCAAAAGAGGAAACACAGAGACCATTAGAACTGAATATAATCTATAAGTAGACTCACATATATATATGGCCAATTGATTTTTTTAATAAAAACTCAAATGAAATTTAATTTATTTTCAAAAAATTATGTTGAAATGATTGAATATCTATATGCAAATATATGGACAACTTCAACCTAAATTATACACCTTATAGAAAACAATTTACTTAAAATGAACCAAAGATATAAATATAAAATACAAAGTTATAAGACTTTCAGAAGTGAAATAGGGAAATATTTTCATAACCTAGGTTTCTGCAAGGACTTCTCAGTCATGACACTAAAAACACCATCCATAAAAGAAAAAATTGATAAATTGATTAGACTTTATACAAACTAAAAACTTTTATCTATGAAAGATGCTATTAAGAGAATGAAAAGACAAGGTAAAGACTTGGAGAATATAGATGCAAATTACATATCTTCACATATCTGACAAAGGGCTTGTATTCAGAATATATAAGGAACTTTCAAAACTTAACCATAAGAAAATACACATTCCAGCTTTTCAAAATGAACGAGACTTACATAGATACTTTATCATAGAGGATATGTAAATGACAAATAAGCACATAAAGAAACATTCAACATCATTAGCCAGTAGGAAATAAAAATGAAAACTAGAATGAGATACCACTACTATATACCTATTAGAATGGCTAAGATAGAAAAAAAATACATGCCAATGTCAAGTGTTAGCAAGAGTACAGAGCGAGCGGTACTCTACATTGCCGGTCAGAGTGTGCAAGGATAAAACACCACAAAACAGTTTGTTAGAGTCCCAAAAAGTAAAACATAAACTTACCACATGAGCCAAAAAAACATAGTATTACAGGAAAATCTGTACACAGATGTTTATAACAACTCTATTCATTGGGTCCCTCAACATGGAAACAAACCAATGTTCTTCAACGGGTGAATAGATAAACAACGGTGGAACAGCCATACAATAGAATACTATTCAGCAATAAAAAGGGTACTGTTTGTGCCATATCTCAATGGCATTACATTAAGTGAAAAAAAAAGTCAGTTTTTAAGTTATTGTACAAACTGTATTATCTCATTTATATGACATTCTGGAAAGGGCCAAATTATGGCAACAGAGATATGCATTAGTTGATTGCCAGGAATTTGGATTTAACTACAAACAGTAGCACAAGGGTTATTTTTTCAGAAGTGATAGAACTGTCTGTCCTGATTGTTGTTGTGGTTACACAAACTTATACATAGTTAAAACTCATAGAACTTTATTTTACAGTGTGTCTATTTAAAAACGAAAGTTAAAAAAAGTCTTATCACAACTCCACCTGAAACTTTTTTCTATTTACATGTACTAGATAATGCTATATAACCCAATTTAATTTTAAAATGCTTTCAATGTAATTAAATACGTATCTATATACCATTGTTTAGTGGTTGGGTTGTATTCTGCTGCATGGATATAACACATATTAGGCAAGCAATCCCATGTTGTTGGAAATGTGGATTGTTTCTTACTTTTCAATATCAGAAATGATGCTATAATAATCATTCTTGTAGCTAAATATTTGCACATATCCTTAATTGAACTTTAGATAAATTTTTAGAAGAGGATTTGCTGGATCAACATATGAACTTTTTAAAGGTCTTTGACATGTTAGTCAAGAGATCTTCCAGAAGAGTGGTTGCCAAATGTCCCACACCCCCAGGAGGCAATGAGGGTTCGTATTTCCCAAAATGCTCCCTTATAACTTTGCTTATATTATGTTATTACATTATGTGTAATTAAAACTTCTTCAAAGTCTTTCCACATATATTATACTTATCTGTGAACAACAAAACAATCCACAGGGCCTAGTACATTGCTTGGTATAAAGAAGTCACTATTTAATATTTGTGCATGTTTGTTGGCAAAAATAAATGAATAAATTAATGACCCATTTTGTTCTTTGGCAATAAGTTTTCCTATTTATTGTCATACACTTTGGAGTTACTTCATGGAGCAATCATTAATTCAGGACATAGGCCAGTGGTCCTAAACATTTTTTAATCAAACTTCACCAGCAAAAAATGTTGAGTATTCTTCCCAATAAATTTATTTTTATTTCATATGTACATACTCTTTCCAATCTATACATTAAAGAATAATAAAGTTTTTTCTTAGTGGGAGTTAGAAATAAAAACAAATGAAATTCTAATACTTTCTTCTCACTCCCCAAAAGATTGTTCTTCACACACCCAGGCTGCACACAGTCTGCAGATTGCTGCTGTTAGGGACTGGGACACCCGGGGCTCTGCACTGGACACCATGAGGAAAACTGCAGTGGGTAACAGCTCTCCCCTTGGATCTCACATTCAGTTCCAGGACAGATGCCATGAGAACTTCACAGATGTTAGAGCGTCTTCTGAAAGCAGAGGCGGAGAAAGACTCCTTCCTCCTGGGGAAGAGAACAGAGTCTTCAGGGAAGAGGGAACCCTGGAAGCCAGGTCATGGACTCTAAGAGTTTTGTGTTCTATACCCCAAGGAGGCTCCTGTTTGCTTGTGTTCTACTTCAGCCTCTGCGACGTTACAGGGTGGCGGGGTGGGGGAGGGCTGTTGAATGGGGAAGAGTCTGTACACCTGCCATGTATGGCTGTTGGTGGGTTTTTCTTTGTGCCCCTTTTTTTCCTTTTTGTTTAATGTTTATTTTTTCCTCCTGCCTTCAGAACACAGTGACACACATATCAGCTCAGTCAAGGGACAATGCCAGAGGAGCGTGGAGAGAAAGGGCCCCTGGGCAGAGACGGCAAAGCTTTGGCAGGCTAATGTTTGATGCTGTTTCATTGTTTACTTATTTTTAAATATATGAACCACACCTCTCAGAGCAGGAACAAGGACAGGTGACCTCTCAAGACCTTTTCCACTTCACTAACTCTGAGGGGCCTAGGTGTAGTTTTTTAAAAATGCATGTCAATATTAGATGCATAGGGCTCATTTAATGTTTCTAAATTATGACATGAGTCTTGTCACTACTCTGTTAAATGGCTTCAATGAGTTTCTCCTGTCTACATAATAAAATCTCAAATTCTGCATGATGGCATTCAAGACGCTTTAAATTCTGGCCTCCACCTGGACAGCTGTTACTTTCCTCCTATCTCCTACCAGCTCCTCCCTGCATATACTGGCTTTATCCTCCATAACAGCTCAGCCAATTCTCTATCACTCTGTCCCGTCCAAGTTCCACTCACCTTTCTGCCC